ATTTTTATCCATTCAGCCTATTTTGATTGGAGCATTTAGTCCATTTATACTTAAATGAGTTATTGATGGGTATGTACTTATTGCCATTTTGTTAATTGTACATATTTTGGTTGTTTTTGTAGTTCTATTCCCTCCCCCCCCCCCCCTTCTCTTGATCTCTTTATGGTTTGCTGGTTACGTTTCGGTTCCTTTCTCTTTATTTTCTGTTTATCTTTTGTAGATTCTTGGTTTGTGGTTACCATGAAGTTCCTATGCATTGACCTATATCTATTTTAAGCTGATATGCATTTTTAAGTTCAAACACATAGAAGCACTATGGTTTTACTTCCCCTCCACACTTTGTTTTCAACATTATATTTTAAATATTTTTTTAGATAGCCCCTAACTACTTATTGTAGTTATTGCGGATTTTGATATTTTTTTCTTTTAATCTTCATGCTAGCTTTTTTAGTGGAAGTTCCACAGCCTTTACTAGTGAGACTTTTTCACATGTTTTATTTCAGGTTAAGGCCTTTTCTTTTCCACGTAAAGAAGACCCTTTAACATTTCTTGCAAAGTTGACTTAGTGGCAATGAACCCCTGTAGCTTTTACTTGTCTTGGAAACTCTCCTTCAATTCTGATTGATGGCCTTGCCTGGTAGAGAATATTCTAGACTGTAGGTTCTTTCCTTTTGGCATTTTCTTCCACTGCCACCCCAGGCCCTGCTTTCCTCAGCAGCACTGTCATCCAAATTGTCAGCCCCCCAAAGTAATGAGGTCATTCCTTGCCAACCTGGTAACTAGTCTCATACCATTACCGATGGGTGGTGACACGCCAGTCTGTCCAGGTAACACAGGAATTAAAATAGGACTGGCAGAAAGTTTCATATAAAAGAGGATTTAAATTTCCTTTTTAGTAAGAATGAAAAAAAAAATCGTATTTTTACCTAACAACATTCTCTTTAGCTATCCTTAAGCTTGTTTCCTCCTACAAGGTACTCTGTGGTCAGCTAACCTGTCAAAATAACACTCAGGTATCTGGACATAGTTAAGAGTCTTGTGCTATAGTATCTATTTTTTTTTTAAATTATTAATGGGTATGGCTCTCCTCCAGTTGCCCCTTTTCTCCAAAAGCCTTGCCTCTAAGCCATCACCTGGGAAATTGTAAAAACTATAAACTGTAAGCTCCCACTCTGACTTGCTAAATTACAGATGCTTGGGATGTGGCAGACCCGTGGCTCACAAACCCTCCAGGTGATTCTGATGCAAGCTCAAGCCTGAGAGTCATCGTTCCAAAATCTATAGCGAAGGGTTAAGAGCACCTGACCAATAGTTAGCAAACTGGACGAGCTCATTCTGGGTCTTCCACCCACACTCCGCTGTTAACACATCAGGACTCTCCTCGTAAAACAACACAAAGCCTTCATATATTGGAGGTGGAGGACAAGGGGAGATATGTTCGACTGACTTCAATTCCCAGTCACTGGCTTTACACATAAGATTCTATTTAATCTTCCAAACAGTATATATACGTATAAGGCCACTACTACTTCACCAGATGAGTAAACCAAACTAAGAAAAGATTAGATAGTGGACAGAGCGTCAGCCTGCGGACCAAAGGGTCCCAGGATCAATTCCGGTCAAGAGCATGTTGCAGGCTCCTCCCCGGTCCCGGGCCTGGGCCCTGGTCGGGGTGAATGCAGGAAGCAACCAATTGACGTGTTTCTCTCACATCGATGTTTCTCTCTGTCTTTCCCTCTCTCTAAAAATCAATGGAAAAATATTCTCAGGTGATGATTAACGCCCCCAAGGTTCCCCTCCCCCCCCCCCCCCAAAAAAAAAAAAAAAAGATTAGCTAATTTACCTAAAGACACAGTGCTACATAATGGCTGGGACTTGAGTCCCAGTCTAAGTCAAATGTCTTTTTTAAATCAGAGAATGCTAATTCCACAGGGACAGGTCATCAGTGGCATCATTCCGATGGGGGAAAGGTAGCCAGCATTACTGTGGCATCATTCTTTAGAAAGCCACAGTTGTGTGGAACAGCGTGCACAGTTATGTGGATGGCTAAGGTGAGCCTTCTTGTACTTGAACCTGTTTGGCTCAGGGCGGGGAAAGCAGCACCAGATTGTTACTGGAACTCATCTGCTGTGAGACTGGACTCCATGCAGGTCACCCTTCCACTCCTAACTGAAGCTTTGCCCTCAGACAATCCCTCTTATCCCCATCGGAAGTCACTGAGCCAACCCAATGCAGCACATTCCAGCTCCTGAATGAGGACCCTCCATCCCTGCGGGCCAATGGCACCTTCTCCCAGGAACTCCCAACCGACGACCGAGGCCTTCAGAAATAAAGTAGAGCCGAAACCGGTTTGGCTCAGCGGTAGAGTGTCAGTCTGCAGACTGAAAGGTCCCAGGTTCGATTCCGGTCAAGGGCATGTACATTGGTTGTGGGCACATCCCCAGTAAGGGGTGTGCAAGAGGCAGCTGGTCGATGTTTCTCTCTCATTGATGTTTCTAGCTCTCTATCCCTCTCCCTTCCTCTCTGTAAGAAAAATCAATAAACTATATTAAAAAAGAAAGTAGAAACCCTCACACCAGGTAAGAACCATGGTCCACACAGACTGCGTTAGCGTGTTATTCAGAGTTCATCCGGTGTCACCCTGTGCTGTTAATTCCAGAGCCTGTGGAGTTGCTGTGCCAATTAAAGGGAAGCAGCTCTGTTAGCTCTCCATTAGCGGCACCACTGGAGAGGAACAGTGACGTGGTAGATTGTGCAATGTTGTTCCCTTTGGCTTTGGAACGCACTGTTTTTTTTTTGTCTTCAGTAGATTAACTTCTCTAATTATATTTTGCGCAGCCTAATACTAACTGGCATTTGCATTTCCTGAGCACACAACATCCAACACTGAGCTGGGGACACAGTAGCGGCAAGCGAAAGCTGTGCTGGTCCCGGGGAATGACAGTGCTGGTGCGGAAAACCCACACGTGGATAATGAACAGAGAAGTAATTATAAAGTGCTCTGCAAATATTGCATCTGAAGCAGAGATGGTGAATTAGGAATTCTCCAAGGACATGTGAACGGAGTAAAAAAGCTTATTGAAATTCTAAAAGGGACCGAAGCTTCCAAGAACCGTCTTTCGCGTTAATGGAGCCAGATGGAAAGAGGAGGCTGCAGGGAAGAGCCAGGGAGCGACTGGGTGGTCGTTTAAACAAGAAAACCCCAAGCAGTAATACCAACACGTTTTACAAGAGCGTTTGAAATGAATTTTATTGTTGGACTTTTACAAGTAGTCTTTAAAAGGCTTCAAACAAGAACTCTGTTGCAAAACTCTAATAAATAGCTTGCCCCAAGTCCCCAAACAAAACGTAAAACGAAGTAAAAAACTAAACTCAGGCGGACAAGCAAGCCTTCAGAATGCTTAAATTGCTAGAGACGTTTCTCATTGATAAAAGAGACATCGGGCAACGTACAATCTCCTTCACACACCTCAGAGACAGCCGGGATCTTTTACAAAGCACTCTGAAATCTTCCCATTTCCATGATAGAAATGTCACCAGGAAAAGAAAAAAAGAAAAAAAAACACCATGGAGAAATCACAATCATGAATGAAACTGTAGCATAAAAGTCTGGGGCTGGGGTTCGGGGAAGAGAGGAAAATCCACCGTTTCTTTCAGGGCTGGAGTGAGGAATGGGTTGGGGTTCCTTGGGGCAGGGAACATCCAAGCAGATGACACTAGGCTGCTGCACGCTCCCCCTGAAAGGGCACCGGTGTCAGTTTCCCGACAATTCTGAAGGCTAGGGACAGGGCCACCAGGGCTCCCCCCCCCCGCCCCCCCGCGGATGGGCCCAGGATGTGTGCTCTGCAGGGTCCGGGGCTTTGGAACTAGCGCCCCGGCAGCCGCACACCAGGAGGAACAGCACAGGGCCCGTTTCCGCGGCAGAACCCTTTGGCGGCCACAGAAGATGCAGGAAATGCCGTGCATCGGGTGCACACTGGGGCATGCAGGTTTCAAAAGCCCATCCCACCGTCACAGTCATTGCTCCTAAGAAGCAAGTATTAAAATTCACAACGTAACAGCCGTTTTGCCTACTGACAAATACTGGTGAAATCTTGCTTTGGAGACAAGGATTTTTATTAATTCTTTAACAGTCAGTTGGAGGGAGCTAAAAATACAATTTGTTCATCTTTTAAAAATCTCCAACACTATACTGTTGGCCAAAATGCATTCAGGTACTATTTTAGGTTGAAAGAATTCTGGAATCAATCACTGTTTGGAGCCTGGAAGCTGTAGAGAGGCTGATTGCAGTTTGGTGGGATTCACTTAAGCCGAAGGAGAGGGCTCTGACTCTGAGGAGCACACAGCACCCGGGCCATCTCCCTGGGGCGGGGAAGGGGAATGAGGGCACAAGGCAGGACTGGAGGGCGTGGCTGCCTCTCTGGTCCCGGGCTTGGCGGGAGGATAAGAACCCTGTCCTGCCAGTCTCTGCAGGACAGGAGCAAACCGCAGGGGCTCCTGCACAGTCAGCAGGAGAGGCAGGCCCTGGGAATGCAGGTAAGGAAACCCCCTCCCCAAATACACAATTTAAAAATCTTTTATTTTCCTAGGAACAATGACATTCGTCAGGATAATGAGGGAAAGCTTGGGTTACCTGAAATAGTTAAGGAGCCGGAGGGAATAGAGGCAGAGAAGCCGGGGAACCTTGTTCCACGCCCAGTTTCTTTTTAAATACATAACAGATAAAGATATTGTGCAAAAAAATAAAGACATTCACATTTTAGCAGTTAAACTTTATTTTACTTTTTAAAATTTTTACTTTTTGTTTTTCTTTTCTACAAAAGGCAGACAATGATTGTTGATCTGCAATTGTGTGTGTGTGTGTGTGTGTGTGTGTGTGTGTGTGCGCCCCCAAAAGAGGGCCTGGGAAGATAGGAAGCTGAGCAGGAGTCTGAGCGCGCTCAGTGGCAGGCCTGGGGCCTGCACAGCCTCGGGAGGCTCCGCGCTCCGGGCCGCCTGCCCTAGCTCATGTCGATGGTGTTGAAGACCCACTCGGTGAACTTCTTCAGCTTGTCCGAGGCGTTCTGGGACTCCTCCTGCAGCCTCAGGTTGTCCTCTCGCAGGTGCTGGACTTCTGCCTGAAGGTGGGCTTTGTCTTCTTTCTCCTGAGGCAGAGAGAAAAGGACTGAGCCAGGCCACTGAGAAGAGTGGCTGTGGGTCTGTCCGCACCCTCCGCCAGTGCCCACTCTTCCTGCCACTCAACTTGTCTCCAGGCCTAGGCCTGGGTGTTCAGATCAGCTCACCAGGGAGCAGGACTGCCAGAGAGTCACCACAGGTTTGTCTTGGAATGTAAATGTGTTTTAAAGTCCTTGTTAATAAGGACGGTCTTACAGTGCAGACTGCTGTTTTGGTGGCTGCTGCTTTAATATAGTCAAAGGTGTTCCAGAGACAAGACAAGGTGAAGGTCTCTGGGCACGGAGGCGCGGTCACAATGACAACAGGAGGGTCTGGGCTTCTGACCCGCGTACGAGAGCTGGGAAGCTCAGAGGGGGCGGCTGAGGCTCGAAGCTTCCACAAAGGGAACATGTGAAGGCCTTCCTGCACTATGTGGCCAGTGGGAGCCGAGCTCCTAGGAGCCCCCAAACACCCACCCTTCCCCCACGAAGCAACATGCCTTAAAGGGGCCGGCTGCTTGAGAAGACGCCTACCTTCTTCAGGTCTTCCCGCAGCATCTTCAGCATCCCCTCCAGCTGGTCCACCTTGGAGGCCAGAGTGGGGGAGGAGTCCTTACTGCTGGAACGAGAAACAGTCCACATTGGCGGGGTTTGTTTGGCATTTTTAAAAAAAAACGAGGCGGCTGTATTTGTAACATGGTTTTCAATGTCAAATTACTCAGGATGGCAACCCAATGTGCATGTTCACTTTAAAAAAGAAAATGGTCATCTCAACAAAAGGCAGTACAAGCAGGAACTACGGCCAATCCATGGCTTCCTTTGTGTAAGAGGCCGCGTTTTTGTTAACAAAAGAACCAGGACAATCAGTGAAAATGGTCTCCTTGGCAGCACGCTTTCCGGCAGGGTCACCGGGAACAGTGCCATGACCCATCTGTAGTGGCTTTCAGAAGAGGGGCTGACATAAGTGCCACCTCGGGGCAACAAGGAGGGCAGGTCTCAGGTCCCCAGAAAATAGTCTGTGGCCACTATCCAGCTGTAAGCTATTGTGCACACATCTTAAAAACGAGTCTAAATGTCTTTACTTTTAAAATAAGACTACATGTTTCAAAAGCTTGTCAGTCTACCCTGAATGTCTTTATATTCTTTGCTATTTTGACCAGCAAGCTAGATACACAAATTTTAAAAATATATTTTTATTATTTCAGAGAGGGAGAGGGAGAGATAGAAACATCAATGATGAGAGAGAATCACTGATCGGCTGCTTCCTGCATGCCCCCCACAGGGGACTGAGCCCGCAACCCAGACATGTGCCCTGACTGGAATTGAACTCTGGTCCCTTCAGTCAGCCAGCAACACTCTATCCACTGAGCCAAACCAGCGAGGGCGACACACAATTTTCCTATTCTCTATCTGTCCCATGGTTGACCAGAAATGCCATAATATACAGTAAGTCCGCACTTAACACCACACATAGGATCTGCAACTTTAAATGAAACTACATTAAACAACCAATTTTACCACAGGCTCATTGACATAACCAAGAGTTAAGTTGCTTCAACATCTCATCAATGTTAGAATGAAAAGATGTTTTCAAGGACCACTGGTACAATAATGTCACATGTACATCTATCCCCGCCACCTGGAACAGAGGGGAAAGCGCCTGCCTCTGCACGTTACACAGACGTCAAGTCCATGTTCTCAGCTCACAAGAAAGCCTCTGGGTCTCAGTTACTGCTTATCCATTTTACACACACTCCTCTCAGTTATTGCTTATTCATTTTGCACACACTCCTCTCAGTTATTGCTTATCCATTTTACACACACCCCTCTGTTATTGCTTATCCATTTTACACACACCCCTCTGTTATTGCTTATCCATTTTACACACACCTCTCTGTTATTGCTTATCCATTTTACACACACCCCTCTGTTATTGCTTATTCATTTTACACACACTCCTCTCAGTTATTGCTTATTTATTTTACACACACTCCTCTCAGTTATTGCTTATCCATTTTACACACACTCCTCTCAGTTATTGCTTATCCATTTTACACACACCCCTCTATTATTGCTTATCCATTTTACATACATCCTCTGTTATTGCTTATCCATTTTACACACACTCCTCTCAGTTATTGCTTATTTATTTTACACACACTCCTCTCAGTTATTGCTTATCCATTTTACACACACTCCTCTCAGTTATTGCTTATCCATTTTACACACACTTCTAGGTACCCTGTGGCCCAGACCTAGTGCAGAGCTGGAGCTGCCAGGTTGCAGGCACATACATAAGCATGACCGACAGGCAGCTGTGGGGGAGACTCGAGGGCTAACCACACAGGAATCTGGGCTATTTTAGCACAAATGACTCTTCTTACCTTGCTTCCTAACGCCAAGGGTACAAGTGTATAATCGCATTAAATAAAGAACATTCAAAATTCCCACTCTAAGTTACCAAGGATGGTTTAACCGTGTTTACAGTATTCAATCACAAAGTGTTCTAACTGAAACAGGAAGTGCTGGCACTGCAGTGAGACACCCCCACCCTTCACCTCCCCCAGCTCGTCCAGGGGCCTCCGTCTCCTCCCACGGCTGCTGATGGAGGTGCTGTGTGTGCAGGGGGGTGGCCTCACCTCCGGGTGACCCACCTGCTGTAGGACTTCATCTGGACCAGGGCCTGGTCCTCAAGCTGGTCGCTGTTGGATGCAGCACTCAGGGGGCGATGGTTTTCATCACTAGCAGCAAAGAAGGAGGCTCTCTGGACTGCAAAGGAGGCAAAATGCTCAGCAGCTGGGAGACACCCTGGGCTCCGAGTCAACATGTGGCCCACACTGACCCCCCAACCTCACAGGAAAAAACAGCTGTTTTAAGCTCAATAGGATTGTAGCCTTGCGACTGTCCTTAAAAAAATAGCTGTTGTGCATCAATTTTAGTCCCCTTTTCTCTTATCAAATTCTCACTCTGTTCAACGTTTCCCTGGAAACAGGCCTTGTGCCAAGTTTCCATCCCAGGCTCCCACTCAGCGGTGACGTCATGTGCATCAGGAGCTCGGATTGGGCTTCCTGAGAATCCCGTGGTCACCTGCTGGGCTGGACCGTGTCCACACTGTGTGCTTCCACGGGTCCCAACTTAACCCTCGAGCCAAGAAAACAGAATCAATTTTAAAAACTCCTAGTAGAGACAGAAAACATCTACCATTCTGTACGTCTAGTCAAGGCAGGAGTGACGCTCAGACAGGCCCCAGGCCTCCCTGAGCCCCCACTGCCCTGGTTCCAGCCTCACAGCCAAGAAAGGGTGGTGACCCTAATGCCACAGAATGGGGGCAGGAGGCTGGGAGAACCTGGCCTGCACCCACTCGGACTCTGCAGGGCACAGGGCAGGTGACGGACGCACAAGTACATATGGAGTCTACATAAATGAGAGGGATCAACAGACTGCAATTCAAAGCCGCGTTAGACCTGGGACTGCTGTCAGCTACGCAGGGATTCCTTGCTGACTGCGTCATGGTGGTCTGACTTCCAAGGCCTAACCAGTTTCTCCTGAAAACTGGAGCTTGTCTGAAGAGCTACTTTCAAGTCTTCAAAGAAGAGCAATAACAACAACCCCTCCCCCCAAGAAGTCATCTGCTCTCATCCTCTTTTTGTTGTTGTTAATCCTTAGCTGAGGATATTTTCCCCCTGAGTTTTAGAGAGAGTGGGAAGGGGAAAGAGAGAGAGAGAAACATCGCTGTGAGAGGGCCAGCCCTCCAGCTGCAGAGCCAAACTGTCCAGGGCCTGTCATCCTCATTTTATGAAGAACGACCTAACAGTAAAAGTTTGGAATGATGATCTAAGAATGAAGTCAGTCTATTCCAAAAAGGGAACCTGACAACCTATGTCAGCACACAAGGCAGCTCTGTGGTTTTACATACGTCAGTGCCGTCGAAGGACCATGGGCCTAGAGCAAACCTGAGCGGGGGGCTGGCACGGGAACAACGCAGACAGGACCCGTGCCACCCCCCTCGGGAGCGATGAATGTGGGAAAGGGAGCACCCTGCCCTTGCCAGGATGGGGCGGGCCCAGCACCCTAATGGAGCCCCTGTGTGTTTAGCAATGATGTCCTTATGATGTGATGAAGGACCACATTCTTCTCCTTCAGGTGACAGTTGGGACCCCCTGCCCTTCCCACTCAGGGAGGACCATGCTAGGAATTCCTCTGTAGAGAACACATCAGGCTCCACCTGATGGAATCAGAGGATGTGAGTCCCTGCTGAGCACCCAGTAACAACCCGGCTGGTCCCGGCTGTGCCAGTGACGGAGGACACAGGGTGGCGGAGACTGGCCAGCACTCACACGGCAGCATGGCCCTGGTACGTCCCAGCCCAACTGCTCGGTCCCCAGAGAACTCACCCTCATAGGCCTTGGCGGCATCCACCAGGTTGGACCAATCCAAATCTGCAGCAGCGTCAGGCAGGGGCATGAGGCCGGGGTCGGGCATGGGCCTGCGGGCCTCCTGGACGTCGGTGAGGGAGCTGTCTGAGGCGGAGAACTCTCCTGCGGGAAGAGATGGGGGATGAGATGCTCCTCAGGCCACAGACCACTGGGGAGCTCACCATCTCTGCTACCACGGCTGGTCTGTAAGCAGGTACCGAGAATTAGCTTCTAGTTGAGGTCTTGGTAGCCTTTTCAAAGCTGAGTTCCACTACAAATTGCCTTCCTCCAGTCTTAAATGATTTTTTTTTTTTTTTTTTTTTATAACTTCCTACTCTCTCATTTCCAGTGGTGTGATGGGGGAAAAGGCAGTTTTCCACTGCGGCAACAGCTCCGTTTGGCGGGAGCTGCTTGTCTGCCGTGGGGTCCAGGACGGCCCCGCATCTCACTTTTCCTTACGGTCCAGGGATTCGGGCTGGAGGAAGAGACATCCTCACCTTCCCAAGGATAAGCACCTCTTGGGCCACAGAAGTCCAACAGCTGGGCCTCTCTAAGGGGACAGTGTTTAAAATATAAATATTGGGCCACTGTAAACAGCCGACCTTTGCTTGACCTGTGCAGGCAGGAACAGGCGAGGGGGCCGCACCACGCCCTGTGCGGGCGCTGCTCCTGCTCCAGCTCGTGCTGTGGAGCACACAGAGGGGCCGGGCTCGATAAAGGCACATGCGGTCCATGGCCAGGAGGAGGGTGGGGAGAGGGCAGGGTGTGCAGTTTCGTGAGAAAGGCCGCCCAGAATAGGACGTGACACTAGCCCTCATCAGGATGGATGGAGCTCCCAACTGAGATGTGCAAGCAACTCCAGAAATACCTGTTTACAAGGGGTTAAAAAGTTTCATCCATTATGAGAAGCTGGTAAACCAGGGTATAGTTAATGCTTGTTTTCCCTCACAAATTACACGAAGAACGGCTCTGACGTGCAGCTGCTAGTTATTAACGTGCTTAAAATTAGCTCGATTATGAGTTAATGGAAATAACAAATACTGCCAGAAATTAAATGCTCAGTTCTACTTGAAACTCGCTCCCACCAAGGGTACCTAGGTGGAACAGACACTTTTGTGTGTCACTCATAATCCTCGGCCCTTTTCATTTCTGGGGCTCAGATATCATACGGGAGGAAAGAAATCACCCCTCCCTATGGCCCACACTCATTTCCGTGGTATTCCCATGCCACGAGGCGAAGCCCAGGGACCAGCCAACAAGGACTGCTTAGCTCAGGACATGGGATCCAGCGCTGCCGCCCAACTCCCCTGAGAGCAGGAGGAGATGATGGAAAGGTTTGGCAATAATGGTCCACACTTTCCCATCCTCAGGGCTGGGCCTGTACCCCAGCCCCATTGGCTAGATGATGACTGGGTTTTCTGGGCTGCCCACAGGACAGAAGCCTCTAGAAGACAGGGCTGTACTGACATACATGTGCAGAGAGGCATCACAAGGCTAAAGGAGTACAGGGGCAGTAGAGGCACCCTGGGCAAGAAAGTTTTAGAAGCAATGGATTTAGGGGGTGGGGGGGTTGGCCCCAATGTGGGGACAGAAAGGGGGAAAGGATTCTGGCACATTGGGTCACAACCAGAAGACTTTTTCTAGAGTCTGGACGGTAAAAAGTGCAGCTGGATGGGGGAAGCTGGCACAATCCCCAAGTGGTGCCTGCAGGTTGAGTGGGGGAGGGGAATGGGGGGTGGAATGGGAACAGGGAGCAGAACAGAGACAATGGAGGGACATCCACGAGTGGGCGGAGCACTCACAAAACATGCGGGGAGAAAGCACACCAGGCGAGCAGCAGTTTAAGAAAATACTGCTCCGAGAAGCAGCAGAGGAAAGGAATGTGGGTTTGAATGGACAGAGAATTCCCAGAGGGGAATGAAAAGGGTAGGAGGGAGGAGTATGTATAATAAACAGGAAGGAACACAGGTTCCACGGGGGTATCGGCTGTGCTGGGTCCTGGTGGGGAGAGGAAGTACAGAACCCTGGAGTGGAGCTGGACAGAGGGAGGAGAAAGAAAACAGTAAGGAGGTTCCTTAAAATACAACTACCATATGATCTAGCACTGCTATTTCTGGGTATTTACCCGAGGAAAATGAAACACTAACTTGAAGAGACAAAAGCACCCCCATGTTCATTGCAGCAGTATTTGCAATAACCACGATGTGGAAATAATCTAAGTGTCTATTGATAGATGAGTAGATAAAGAAGATATGATATCTATGCCATGGAATATAGTTAACAGCTATAAAAAGGAAGTTTTCTATTAGCAACAACATGCTGGACCTTGAGCGCATTGTGCTAATTGAAAAAAACCTGACACAAAAAGGTAATTCATGAGGATACAGAGCAAGGTGACTATAGTTAATTGTACAGGGTGGGGCACAAGTAGGTTTACAGGTGTGAGTATGTATTATCCTGTTTCCACGAAAATAGGACAGTGTTTTATATTAATTTTTGCTCCCAAAGTTGAGCTAGGTCTTATTTTCAGGGGATGCCTTATTTTTCCATGAAGAAGAATACGGTACACACTTATTGTTAAATGAAAATAAAGGAAATTTATTACCTGTATACGGTACGGTAGTACGGTAGTTGTCAACACAAACCAGACAAACTGTGAATCCTACAGTATCAAGAATTTACTCATTTATTCAATGACAATCATGTCATCATCATCTGGAATATCATCATAACAATCCAATTCCTGAATTTCCTGGTGAATTTCTTGTGACTCCATTTCTTTCAGAATCAGTTGACCAAATCTCTAATGTTTAGCAATAGCACTGTCTTTAAATGAGTACTTCTTGTCAAGGTAGACTGCTTGCAGTGCATTTGCAATGCAACTGTCAGTGATTTTCTCCCATGAATTCTTCACCCAAGTCACAACTTCTTGCAGTTTAGGCTTCACAAAGTTTTCATGCTGATTTCTCTCCATTCTATTTTCAATGTAGTCATTAATTTACATGCCCAAATTGTCTTTGAATGGCTTATATATTGCAATATCAAGAATCTGGAGATAAGCCGTCATTCCTGCAGGAATCATTATCTGATCTATTTTTCTTTTGTGAAGAAATGTCTTCATGTCTTTAGTGTGGTGAGTGCTGGCTGCATCCCAGACTAGCAGACCTCTTTGGCTCCCTCGCATAACAAGCAGCAGCATTAAATCGACCCAGTTCCTTATAACTGCTTGTGTGGCGGGCTTTTTCAATTTCAAGAATAAAATGCCCAAAACACATTCAATCTTTTCCTTTTTGCCCTTAGAAATGATTAAAGGTGGGATTTTAGTGCCATCCAGACGAATTGCCAAAATACTGGAAACGAGGGAATGTACACTAAGGAGGCACCCCACTGTTCAATTGTTGTTTGAGATGATTGGCCCATAAACACTGCAGTTTCATCCATAGCAATCATGTTGGAAAGATTGTATTTAGAGAAGTCGGCATCATCAATAAAGGACTTAAATGCAAGTGCTCACTTAATAACATTTGTATCTTCCAACCTAAACAATGTTGTAGATCTTCTTAAAGACAGTTCACTTCGCTGAAGGAAATTATCCAGCCAGTGTTGTGATACTTTGAAGTCTTCGGGGCTATGTCAAACTGTGGTGCCATTGCAAGGCAAATTCTTGAATCTTGAATCACAACCAAAGCCTCTGCTCTCCTGTCAACAACCCATTCACAGATCAGGTCTTCCAGCTCGGAAAATAATGGTTGCCAACCTGATCCACACTTGTGCTTTTTAGCATTTCCCTTGTCCACTTGTTCAATGAGGTTACCATACTCTGCTCGCCATTTTCGGACCAATTGGATACTCAACATCATCTCTTTGCAGAAAGCAGTAAGATTTTGGCCCCAAGAGTCTTCCACAATTCCTTACTTGTACTCCACGGAGTAGCTTTTTCTTTTTGCGCTCATTTCTAGGGGTAAAAAAAAAGGAATTGGGGTATCAAGGTGGGGGGAGGGGGATCACTTAAAATGACACAGGGGAAGAGTAGAGGGGGGAATAAAAATGGCACAGGAGAATCAGAGGGGGGATTACCATTTTAGTATCCCCTTTTGATCCTCCTGTGTCATTTTGATTGCCCCCTCTGATCCTCCTGTGTCATTTTAAGTGATCCCCCTCCCCCCACCCCTGTGCCACTGAACACCTTCCCCAGACATCTCCCCCTACCCCTTTATCAGACATTTACTCCCTGGGGCCTGCCTGGGGACTGTCACTGGGCTTGCTGGGGCCTGGATCTGGGCTGGAGCAGGGTCTGCCACTGACTGCGAACCTTCAGTCATCATGAGGGCGGCTGTGAGCATCAGGTAGTGTCACCAGAGACAGGCCAGCACTCACTACCTTTGCCGCGTCCCATCCGCTCTAATCCTCCTGTTCTACACGCATCTGCGAAAGTCTCCTCCTCTCTCCCTCCCTGTGCTCACCGCTCACTCCGACCTCCGCTCTGCCTCCACCTCCACACAGCAGAGACGTCAGGACTCCGCATAACGTCACTGGTTGCTAGACGCCAGTCGGGGTGGCCCTAGCGACCAGTTTTTACGGTAAATTAATTTTCATTCTGAGACAGAGCCTGGGGGGCGGGGCCTTTATTTTCGGTGGGATGCCTTATATTTCACTCAGAAGGAAACCTGTAAGTAGGTTTTATTTTCGGAGGATGTTTTATTTTCGGGGAAACACGGTACTATTTATTAACTATTAGAGGCCCGAAGCACGAAATTCATGCAAGAGTAGGCCTTCCTTCCTCCAGCTGCCGGCACCCGGCTTCCCTCTGGCACCCGGGACCTGGGCTTCCCTCCCTGCAGCCACCAGCAGGCACCCAGGACCTGGGCTTCCCTCACCACCACAGAAGGATCAGCCTAATTAGCATATTACACTTTTATTATTATAGACCAGTGGCTTGGTGCATGAAATTTGTGCACATTAAAAGGGAATTAATTAGAGAAAATATTTTAATATTGCTATTTGCCCTTTCTCTATAATACAAGTGTCAGAGATGAAAGAAAATTAGTGAAATGTATATGAAAATAATATATAAATTTATTAGTAAATAATCACAATATGCTATAACAACAAAGACATGATATAAAACCACACTGATATAATGACTGATAAATTGATTAAACTTATTCTAATATCTCCCTATATATCACATTAAGAGTGAAAACACTTTCGGAGTGCTTGACTAATTTCCCTGTGATGAAGTATTTATAACTTTAACATCACATGCTCTTTGAACTCAAGAAAAAGCAACATATAACTGACCATGTCTGAAAACAGGTTCAGGTAAGAATATTCCCACTCTGTCTAGAGTTTGTCTTTGTGATTTATTAATAGTCATCACAAATGCTGGCATCACAGAAAACTGTCTTTGAATTAATTTAAATGGGAGGCCAGTGTCAGACAGGGACAAATCAATTCTTGGAATCAGAACAATATTAAAAACTCTGGTTAATAAGTCAGGTCTATTTTCAACTTTTTGCCAGTGTTGTAAATTGTTTGTAATATCTGCCCATTTGGGGTTGCATGTCATGGTTATGAATAAATCAGGTTTGCCAAACTTCCTTACAATTGCCATAGCATTCTGATATCGCTGTTGCATGTTTCTGGGACTATCCTCCAAAGATCATGAAAGTATTATCATTTTACCAATCGTCACATTGTCATTTTCAGATCTAGATGTGAGATAATCCATTAAACCACTATATTTTTCAACGCTCAACTTAAATTGGTTTGCTTTAATGAAATTTATTCAATTGGCTTCCATTTTTTAATATGAATTGACAATAAACTGTTGAGTTAATTTTCCCACATTTAAAATAGGACTGAACGTGTCCCGCACAGAGAGATGAAATCCATAATACTGCATTTATGTGACTTGTGTCCTTACATTTTGTCTAGTATTATTGTCAGTTACATTGTTGTCTCTGAGTCTTAATGCAATATCCATTCCCTAGCCTTTTTCACCATGAGGAAAAAGAATAGGATAAGTCATTGCATCTAATGTAGGAAGCAGAATACTGATTTCATTTTAGTAGCATTCATATTTTTTTGATTTGGCTTATAATGAATGAGCAAGTCCCTTTCAAAAGGAGGTTCTCCATCTTCGTTTCTGAATATGACAGTAATCTTGGTTACATGGGGAGAATTGTATCTACTGGGATCACTGTTACAGTTGTATTTAACCTGTTAACTGGGGAGTTCCCTTTTTAATTACACAACGTATAACGGGTGCATACTCTTTCACTAGGATGTGTCAGTAAGTCACACCCGGTGGACATAATTTCATATTATTATTATTTTTATTTATACTTAATTAAAATAAATGAAATATATATATATTTCGTTTATTTATATATAAATCACAAAGGAAAATACAAAATTACAAACAAATAAAAAAGAATACCAACAAAAAAATGGAAACATCGAATTAAAAAATTATAAATTTTACAAACAATTATAAAGATTACAAAAAATATATACTGTCCGTTTCAGGGCGCAAGATATATTTCAAGATCGTATTTATATGTCCTCCTTGTTCCAGATATTGTTTACGTTTAACGTATTTATAAGTCCCGCTCGGTTAACAGGTTAATAGCCAGTTACTTCTGTGGGAGCAATACTTTTTGCTGTTGCTTCAGATTGGGCTTCCTTTTCTACTTCATGTAGCATCTTGTATGATTTTGTTAATTCATTTATTTCATGCATGAGGTTGTGGATGTTGATCAGGATTCTTTCTGGCATTGCTAATCTTTTACTCATCGCTTTGGCTGTATCTAAAATATAGAGTTGAGCAAACTTCCAAGAAACACCATCCAAAGGATGTAAATTTCCAGTATGGTGATAAACTTGTCCATGTATTCTAAAACAGTATGGCCCATATCCTGATGGCGATGCAATATTTGCGCCCACTGAAGCAAAAGCGAAAGAACTATTTACTGAATGATTATTTTCCATGAAATTTTTACTGTCAGAATCCTCGATTATTATTAGATTTTTAAAATATGATAGGTGTTCTGGAAAATGTATATTGTTTGGACAAACTTTACCTTTGCTACAACACTGCGTAAATTTTCTATCAGATGGTTTTTCATCAGAGAAATTCAGTGATAGACAAAATTGACATCTAACAGCTATTCCACCACAACTATGTTGATAACTGCATCCTCATTTACTCCATTTTCGCTGTGAAGCAGTTTCTACCTATATTGGTAGTACTTGCTGATGACTGTTCTTTAGATATATTCTGTTGCCGCTGCCACCGCTATCGCCACGGCCTTTCAACTTCAGAGGCATGTTGGTCTGCAGACATTTTCTGTTGATGACACCAGCTTCTTTCAGCTGAAGAGCTACATTATGCCAGTAGTTGGTCTTCAGATATTTTTTGTCGATAACACTGGCTTCTTTTGGCTGCTGAAGTGCGTTCTGCCAATCGTTGGTATTCAGGTACATCTGTCGCCAATGCCAGCTTCTTTCAGCTTCAGAGGAATGTTGTGCTAATAGTTGATCCTCAGACATATTCTGTTGATGCCATCACTTACTTTCACCTGCAGAGGTACGTTGTGCCAATCATTGTTCTTCAGAGATATTCTGTCACCAATGTCAACTTCTTTCAGCTTCAGAGGTACACTGTGCCAATAGTTAGTATTTAGACATATTCCCTCCTCCCTGCTGTCTGGGTCTGGGGTGCAGAGAAATGGGATTCCTGGTTGGCAGGCTGCTGACAGCAAGCTTACCAATGGCCTATTCTGCAAGGAATAGGGCTCCTTCTTCCCTCCTGTCAGGGTCCAATTTGAAGGCCAATCGTGCTAGACCAAGAGTTCCGCCACACCCGGGCCAGGGCCAGGAGGGAGCTCCCTCCCACTGGCAGCCCGCTATTTGGTTATTCATCCAGTCACTTAGGTTGTGACGACCCCTGGCTTTTTATATATTAGGATTGCATTATTTCCCATAGGAACAATTGTAAACCTACTTTTGTTCACCATATACTGTACTGCATACCTGAATGTTGCTAGGAGAGTAAATATTCAAAGTTCCCATCACCATTTTGCAATGTAAAAAAATATCAAATCATGTTGAACACCTGAATTATAATGTTATATGCCCATTATACCTTAAATACAAGCATGCATCCCGGGTGACTCTTATGGTCTGGTGAGGTTGAACATCTGTACCCTGTAGTCTGAGATTACTGGTGAGAGGCTAAATGAAGGAGGTATTGGTGAACCAAGATAACCTGAGCACGCTAGCAGAACTTCCTCCAGCTGTCATTCTCGGAGAAACTGAATGCTAGCCATCTCTGACACTGGCCACCATCAGCAGGGCTATTCAGCTGCGGCTGAACACAGACTCACCGTGCAGTGACTTCATTCCCAAGGTGTAAGAAGGCCTCCGCAGTGGAAGAGACTTGGGGAGAGAAGGGTACGTGCTACTGAAGAGGACGTCGTTGGGCAGGGCTTGGTCCAGAAGTGAGGCCCTCGAGGTGAAGAAGTGCTCCCTCTGGCCGCTGTAGATGCTCTCATCCGACAGCGTCCTGTGCAAGGCCCGCCTTGAGGTGGGGGTGTGGGGGAAAGGAGACTGAGGCGAGGAGAGTGCATGGAACTGAAAAACAGGGCCAAGACAACAGGAGGTCAGTTTTCCGGGTCACACACCCAGGGCCCAGGCTGGGGGAAATGAGCGGGTTAACAAGTTCACTGCTCTCAGGCACATGCTGTCCAACCCCAGAGCCCAACCAGGGAGCCTCAAGGTCTACCACCTCTGTCTACATCCTTAGGGCCAACATGAGATTCCCAGAGCCCACCACGCTGCCTATCAGTGCTCAGTGCATAATTCAGACATATAATTAAATGAATCCATCAATACTGTGTCATAATTTAGAACAAGATGAGGACCAGACAAATGTGCGCTATTTTTGAATCATGTGTCATTGACCAAATCATGTCATCTCTCTGAGCTCAGCTCCTTGTCTATGAAATGGGGCATGTCATCCCTCAAGATTATTAGGAGGGTAAATGAAACACGGACTGATCGGTGGTGTTACAAAATAATGTTACAGCCCCCAGGGAACAGCTGTGGAGCCAAGAAGGTGTCCCCAGATGCTTGTCAAGTGACTACATGTTTGCTGGGCAACAAGAGCATTTGATCAGCACAATATATTAGTGCAAATAATAGCTGGCGCTTGATCAACATTAACTACTATAATTATATTTAATGAATTTTGGCAATTTATTTTTTGAGATAGATTTCTATCCCTCTCTCCTCCTCTCTGTAAAAAATCAATAAAATATATTTAAAAAAAAGAATAAAACTATATTTATTCAGTTCCTCTTCGACTACTGCTCTCCTTGGCAGGGAGAACAATGTGGGGACAGCTGAAGGCCTGAGGAGGAGGCTGAGTCCTGGCAGGAAGCCACACAGGACTTGCCATGACACTTTGAAGGGGCAGAGAGTCGATGATGCAGCAACGGCTCCATTTAGAGAGCTGAGCATACAGAGTTGACCCTTAGGTTCATACATGTGCTAGGGTCTAACACAACTCCATTCGACAAACCAAGGGTTAAATCAAGTCAATACTTCCCACAGCATGGCATGCACAGTATCTGCATAAATATTTTAAAAAGCATTAATCAAAGGCATTGTAATGTAAACCTCAGGTGTAGCCTATTGTGTTAAAACTGTGCTCATTCTTAAAGATGTGTGATGAGCTAAACCCAAGGATGTACGTGGTTGCCCAGAAAACTGAGCCGCTATGATAAACGCTTGGTGAGTCTTTAAGTGGAGGGGATTTGGTCTGATTTCTCTTCTCACTGCAGAGTGGGAATCAGAGATGTTACAAGGCTTGCCAACTGCAATTAGAAAAACAACAACAAACCACGCAGGCCACCTCTCCTCCATCTGCAAGTTCCAGGACCATCCCGCAGACTCCTATCGAGTCAGATCTTGGATCTCCATTCAAAAGCTGCTCAGTGTTTGTTGGCACCTCTGGGTTCAGCTGAGGGATTTCCTTCTCCTGTGCGTATTCCCACCCTGATGGTTTTCCAGGAGAGAAACTCTCCACCAATTCCAGTTTCAGTCTCATCAGGAAATATTGGTGTACTTAATAGCAGTAAACGCGGCCTGGAAGAGCCCTTTGAGCAGCCTGCTTTATTAAAAGGTCTAATATCCTTCAGGAAAGGGAGGCTGAATAGGCCACGGAAGGACGCCATCTGCCCAGGTACTTTCTGTGCAGTAACAGTAGCAGGACCCCGTCTTGTCCAAACTCGTGAGGATGGTTCCTCATCCCACCCGCTTCAATTCCAGCCTTAAAGGTGCACACATCTCTGGTTCTGGCAAGCACCCTCTCTACCTTCCTGGAAGGTCAGGTCTGAGATTGCTGAGTGGCCCCACCGAGGGCTACAAGCCCCTGGGAAAGAACCACATGGAGTTGATGGCTGACTGGGAAGGGGTTGAGAGCATCAGGCTGGGGGTTTTCAAGCTGTGCTCCCAGGGGCCTTCAGGTTCATCACAGCATCAATGCTTGTGGAGAGATGTTCAGATGGGACCCAGGGTCATGACACCCACCCTTCTCATAAGAGACACTCTGCTTTCTCATCCTACATATTGGACTTCCACATACACTTTTATTCAATAAAAGGGTCTTTGTGCTTTAAAATAATTTGGGCACCACTGCCATACTCTGGCCTTCTATTTCAAAGCCTAGGAACGCGGCCTGAAGAGGGGGCGGGGCGCCTTGCTCCAGATCAACCCACACTTGCAACAAGCAGCTGTCAGGTCTTCCTGAACCCTGGAGCTGGGTGAGGCCTCTTCCTTTGGTCTGTGCCTGAGTGCTAGCAGGACTACTGGTTTGCACTGCTGTCTGTTCACTTGCCACTGTATGCAGCCCTCATGGAAAATAGGGTTATTCACCCAGCCCGCGTGGCTCAGTGGTTGAGTATTCACTCAGGAACCAGGAGGTCACAGTTCCATTCCCCATCAGGGCACATGCCCGGGTTTTGGGCTTGATTCCCAGTAGGGGGCATACAGGAGAGAGCCGATCAATGTTTTCTCTCATCACTGATGTTTTTATCTTCTTTCTCCTTCTCCCTTCCTCTAAAAGCAATAAAAACATTTTTTAAAAGCTTTGGTTAAAAAAAAGAAAGAAAGAAAGAAAGAAAATAGGTTTATCCCATCTCTGCCTGCCAAGGCGGTTTCTTGCTGGCTAATAAAGCCAACTGGTGTGAGTGGCTCCAAGGGTCACAGCCTGAAGCTGCCGTTCCTGGCATCTGGAGCCTGGTGCCGTGGCCTGGAGTCGTGAGCCAGGTGTGACCTGGAAGGTTCTCAAGGGCACACTGGCCTTCCTGACACAGCAGAGCCATGGGCATTTAGTCAGCCTCAGAAGACACACAGAGCTCCTTAGCTGAGCTCATCTGAAACCAAACCAGAAAGGATGGGACTGGAGAGAAAACAGGCTATTTCCAGCTCCTGCTTCCAGCCTTTTTATAGTAATAGTTTCAGCAGAAGGATTTACTTTTAGAGGGTCTGACAGTCACATAATCACAGCTTAAAGACGTGCACTCTGTTTCAAATAGGAATGTTAAAGTAATTCGTTTTGGAAATAAAAGCCAAGATCTAAAATAACAGCAAAACGGACATTTGCTTTCAATTACTTCCAACGCAGGAGAGAATCAGAACGCGAGCATTAAACTTGCCCCTTTCCAAAAACTAAGACTTGGAGGACCGATTTCTTTCATGGCAAGTTTTACTTTCCTCCAAACCAAAGGAAAAACGTAAAATAATTTTTATTTTTAAACTGTTCCTTAAACATTTAATACACCTCATTGGGTTTTGATGAATAAAGAGATTTTAAGAGCTATCCTTTGCAAGGTTGCTAAGGAAACGGTTTGTACCCCGGGTGATGATTCAGAACTGTGAAGTGCTGACTTATAGAACAGAAATCAAGAATGGCAAATCTTTAACATGATTTATGATCTTAATGTTTATATTAGTAAATCACTTCTTTTGCAAACTTGAGAATGGGCTTTGGAGTCCACCTCAGTGCTGTCGATGCTGACTTTAAGTTTAGGCCTGCCTGGAGAAAATGCATGTGTGCTGAGAACGCCCAAAGGGGACGCAACCACTGGGCTCCTGCAGGACGTGCTTCCTGCTTCTGATCGCAAACTATGAGTGGTGACTACTTAATAGTCTAGCTTCCATTTATTAAATTTAATAAATTCTCCAAGTTCTTAAATAAAGCTTGCCAGTCACGTCAAACAGACTACAAATCATTCATCTAAGAACCTAGTGAAATGAACATGTCCACGTTCACTGCCACCTTCCTGGGTAGACGCCCTTTTCCTGGGACTGCCCGCTACCGCAGACAGAAGCGCCTTGTACTCACAGTGAATACCTCTGGGCCCCGCTCAACACACACGGGCTCCAAGCCCTGAGCGCTGCTCACCTCAGAGGACAAGAGCAGAGAGTCCAAGCTGAGGTGAGTGGAACAAATCTTCCCCATGCCTATGCAAAGGTGCAGCCACTGACACACAAACCAGTTCTAAGCAAAGGGGGAGAGGAACGGGTCCTGGGACTGGATGGTCCCAGGTTCTAGAGAAGGCCCTGCAGCCTGGATTCTGAGAGGGGGGCAGGAGGCTTTATGAAGTGGAGAAAGCCTGCAGGTTCTGAAGGTGAGTGTGCAGACTGCTGGCTGGACTAGAGCACCCAGGGCAGGGTCAGCGTTGGGGCAGAAGCAGGCAGGGTGCAGAGTGCTGTGGGCACACAGGAAGGGGAGCTCTTTGGATAGAAGGACTAAAGTCCTTAGAGAAAAATGTCCATCTGATGAGGGCCCCAGACGCCCCTGTGGAGTTCCGAGGAACAATGTCGAATAGCATGCAAGAAAGAGCGGCTTGTGCACGGAGCAGGGAACCCTGGGAGGAGAAAGAACCCCAGGGGCAGGACAGGCGGACATCCATCCACACTAAAGGGACGTCGCTGCAGGAAGAGAACATTTGGAAAACACTGTGAGCTAATTATTGGGAAGACTGGGTGATGGTGGGAAGGGGTTTCAATGGGGAGGAGCTGGGAACCAACTTTTTGGAGGGAGTAACTGTGGTGAGCAGCTCCGGCCCAACTTGGCCTCTCTCTAACTGCTATTTGCTCCGAGCTCTGTACCTTAAAGTTCTTCTGGGATTCAGGAGTCGGGCTTTCAAGGTCGATGAGTTTCTTGAGGTCCTCCTCAATGGTGGACTTGGAGGTTGGCTTAGGAGATGCTCGGAGGTCCCTGGTGGAGGCCCGCAGCCTGGCTTGGGCTATTTCATTGCCATCGCTCTGATGACGCCTTGAATAAAGGAGAGAGACGGTGTGAATGGAATCAGTCCAGTGGACCGAAGGTCACGGTGGGCTGGGAGGGGTGTAAGTCATTGGAGAGATGTTATAGGAGAGAAAAGGAGAATTACTTCTGTTCAATTACATTGGAAGCTACTCGGATAAATTATTGTTAGAGAAATGAAACCAATTTGAAACATAAACTAAAATGTCTAATGAAAAAAATCACTCTTTTAGAGGAAGCAATTAGCTCTACCAAGCCAAAATTAGCAACAGACTTTTTCATAAAAGACACAGGGTATAAATCCCAAATGCAATCTTTGTGTAGACAAAAACAATGTAATTGAATGAATCATTTATTCTTTTTTTGCTGTGCTACTTTGTAAATGTCCTTTATAGTCAGTCACTCCTTTATATATATGTAGTCACTTACTTTCTGATGTTCCCTCTGGTGCCTCCTGGCCCAGTTAAGAACCAGATGGGAAGGCTATGATTAATACCATCAAGGGAAGGGGAGGAATCTTTGCACCAGGGGCTTGATTTTTCTGAAATTCGTTCTTCAGACATGCCATCTTCCCTCTTACCCAGTTTTGCTTCCTGTGGTTACATTTACCCAGGGTTAACCATGATCCAAAAGTACTAAATGCAAGAATCCAGAAATAAGCAATTCTTGTTCTAAACTGTGTGCCATTCTGAGTGGTGTGAATGAAACCTGTACCTTCCTGCCAGACACGCGAATCATCCCTTTGTGCCCAGATGGGTACACTACCCACCCATTAGTTACCTCCTAGCTGCCCCAGTTACCAAATCATTACCACAGAGAAACCATATTCATATAACTTGTCGTTATAATTGTGCTATTTTTTTTATTAGTTACTGTTGTTAATCTCATACTGTGCTTAATTTACAAACTAATCTCATACTGTGCTTAATTTACAAACTAAACTATCAAAGGAATGAATGTATAAAAAACACACCACAGTACACTAGTTAGTATACAGGGTTCGGTATTACCTGCAGCTTCAGGCATCCACTGGGGGTTGTGGAACGTATCCCCCATGGATAAGGGGAAACAAATGTACTGTTTCCTAGGAGATCTAAGACTCTCAAATCTGAATATACCGCAATACATCTTATTTAAGGAATGGAGTGGGAGAGATAATTTAAGACAAGCTTTACTTAGAAAAAAATAAGTGCTGTTCAGTGATTAGAACTTTGGCCCATGCACCTAATGCTCGCGTTTGACTCCTACTCCAGGGCACATACCTGGGTTGCAAGTTCGATGCCCTACCGTGGTCAGGGCACATGTGGGAGGCAACCAACATGAGTCTCTCTCATGTTGCTTTTTTTCTCTCCCCCCTTCCCTCTCTCCGTTCCTTCCTTCTACTCTCTTAGAATTTAATGGAAAAAAAAAATGTCCTCAGGGGAGAATTAACCAAAACAACAACAATAATAACAATAATAACAATAATAATAATAATAATAATCTCCCTACCATATCAACCTGTCCCTACCTTCCAGCCTGGCTACCTCGGCCACGGAAAATTCCTTCAAACTTTTCTGTTCTCTGCCATGTTAAAAGCAAACCACTCAGTAAGAGAAACAAAAGAATTCTTACTTTCTTGTGTCCATAAATCCCACAGAATTTATGGTTCCTTCCGGTTTTTTCCATCCAATCAGGTACTTGCTGGTCGCGCCCTGGCGAGGGTAGAAAGTCCTAGGACCGGACGAGGAGGACGAGGAAGAGGAGAAGGAGGGTGCAAGCTGTGAGGAGGTGGCTGGATGGAGCTCTTCCTTGGGGGAACTCCGGGCACTGGTGAAGACCACGGGGCTGGCAGAGTGGCGGGAGCTCATGGTGCTGAGGAGAAGCAGGGCAGAGACAAGGGCCACGTGTGGGTACGCGCTCGCATCGGGGTCAGCAGGGGTCATCGGGACAGGCTTGTGGCGGGTTAGGAACAACGGCTATTTCATGGAACGTGAATGGGGCCGCTTGGCCAGCCTTCCGTGCTTTCTCACTATAATTTAAATGTCTGCTGAGCGTGTGAAAGGTGGTCAGGGGATCAGTCTGAATGTTACAGTAAAAAGTAGGATAGTGAGACTTTGAAACACGCTGGCACCTCTTAAGTTTGCTACAGGGAAGTCTACAGGAGACAAGAGGGGGAAGGCCTGCCGCAAAGGCCCAGCAGTCTCAGGGCCATCTATCTTGTCTTCCTCAGAACCAGGGGTCATGGCGACCCTGCCAGGTCCACGCTAAGAACAGGAGAGGAGACCGGTCAGGCGTACAGCTTACACCACATCCATGGCACCTGCATGAAACTGACTCTCTAGAGCAGTGGTTCTCAACCTTTCTAATACTACAACCCTTTAATACAGTTCCTCATGTTGTGGTGACCCCCAGCCATAAAATTATTTTCGTTGCTACTTCATAACTGTAATTTTGCTAGGTGATCCTGCTAAGTGATCCTGTCGCGACCCACAGGTTGAGAACCGCTGTGCAGAGCCTAAGACCACCGGAAAACACAGGTATTTACATTACGACTCATAACAGTAGCAAAATTAGTTATAAAGTAGCAACGAAAATAATTTTATGGTTGGGGGTCACCACACGAGGAATTGTATTAAAGGGTCGCAGCGTTAGAAAGGTTGAGAACCACTGCTCTAGAGAAAGCTGTTTATCAGAATGAGCTTTCTTACACAAAAACCAACTCAATATGGATTAAAGACTTAAGTACAAGATCTGGGCCCATAAAACTCCTAGAAGAAAACAATATGAGGTAAGTTCTCTGACTTCAGTGTTGGCGATGATATTTTGAATTTGACAGCAAAAAGGTAACAAAAGCAAAAACAAACAAGTGGGACTGCAATTTAAAAAGCTGCTTACAGCAAAAAATACCATCAACAAAATAAAAAGGCAACCTAAAAAATGAGAGACAATATCTACGTATAAGGGGTTAATATCCCTGTACCATGGTATACATCCAACAACTCAACAGGAAAAAACCAAATAGATTAAGAAATGGGCAGAGGATTGGAATAGACATCATTTCTAAGACATGCAGATGGCCAACAGGTGCATGAAAAGATGCCCACTGGCACTAATCACTAGGAAATGCAAATCAAAACCACAATGAGCTATCACCTCATACCGGTTAGGATGGTCATTATAAAAAAGACAAGAAATAACAAATGTGAGCAAGGATGTTGAGAAAAGGGAACCATTATGCACCTTTGGTAGGATTATAAATGGGAACAACCACTATGGAAACAGTATGGAGGTTCCTCAAACAGTTCTTCAAAAAATAAAAGTAAAAAAAGAACTAACATATGATCCTGCAATTCTAGGTATTTACCCAAAGAAAACAAAAACACTATCTTGCAATATCTGTGCCCCTTGTGCTCACTGCAGCATTATTTACAATAGCTAGGACATGGAAGCAACCCAACTGTCCATCAATGACTGAATGGATAAAGAAAATGTGGAATATTATATACACACACAGGATTATTCAGCCATAAAAAAACAGAAAGAAAGAAAACCCTGCCATTTGTAACTATAGACCTTGAGGGGGTTATAAGAGAAATAAGTCAGACAAAGATAAATACTGCATGATCTCACTTTCACATGTAATCTAAAAACCAGATTGGTGGTTGCTAAAGGTGGGGGAGATGAAGTGGGCAAGGGGGGTCAAAAGGTACAAACTCCAGCTCCAGCTGTAAGATAAATAATGTACAGAATGTGACTAAAAATAAGTTATAAAGCTGTTCATCATCAATATATTAACAGTTTAAAACTATCGTCCTTAAAACTTAAGGAGAAGGCAACTCCTTATACTTTTAAAACTCAGAAAGGCAGAATACGAGGGGTGAGCGTTTAAGTTGACCACAACCTGAGGGCCTTTAGTTGAGGATATCTGCACTCCATACCCATGATCTCACAGGACCCAAGTTTACACTCTGGGAGTCCTGCCGAGTTCTCCAGCTCAGGCTGGGACCAAAGACAGCTGGCTCTTTAGGAAGATGGACTTGGTCACTAACTTGAAGAGTTAGTTAGGAGGATGTGGTCTCAGAGCATCCTTCAGCTGCAGTTTCATTAATCAAAAACTGATGGGCCTGGTCTGAACGACACACAGACATTAGCTAATAATGACATATCACCATGGCTTCCTCAGCGATAACACTGTACTACAGTCACGTGGGAGACTGGTGAGGGGTGCTGGGAAGCTCTCTTTACTACCTGTGCAGCTTTCTGTAAGCCAGAAACTATTCTCGAATAGAGAACTAAGGGGAAAATACATAAAACAAAAAAACAAAAAAAAGAAAGAAAAATGAACAAAATCCCCTGCACTCTAATGGTCCTGAGATAGCACATACAGGTAAAAAGGATCTGAAACTCCCACCTAAGACCTTACATAAAAATAATTTCCAGCTGGATTGTGTATTTACGAGTAAATCTGAAGATTTTGGACTAGAACACAGAAGAACATTTTTTCCCCCTGATAAAAGCAGTTCTTTAATGGGATCATAAAGGAAAGGGGCTGCCATTAAAAGAACTTCTGTTCATCTAAAGACAAAGAATAGGAGATCAAATATGGTATCTCCCCAAATGTATATACACTTTGAATAATTATTAATTCCAATGGGCTAAATCTGAAAAGAAAGAAACATCTATGGAGCTATCAGAAAAAAAGTATGTATACATTTTGGGGGGACATCTTGTATGTAAAAATATATATCCAGCTATGGGCTCCTATCTAGAATAGGAAACTAAGACAACCAAACAGAAAAATGAGCAAAGATTTATAGGATTTCTATAAAAGAGGATATCTGAAAAACAAACAAACAAACAAAAAACCAATACACACTGGTGCTCATTGTTATCAGCTATCAAGAAAATGCAAATTATAGCCACAAGGAGGGACCACTGCATATACAGCAGCATGACTAAAATAACCGACTTACAATATTAAGTGCTAGAAAGGATGTGAATCAATTAGAACTCTTATACATAGCTACTGGGAGTGATACCTGTTACAGCCACTTCAGCAAACTGATTCAGTTTCTGTGACAATTTGTGTGTGTGTGTGTGTGTGTGTGTGTGTGTGTATGTGTGTATCTCTAAGGACTTAGCAATCCCACTCCTAGGTTAGCATTCAAAAGAAATATATACATACCATGCACGAATATCACATATAAGAATCTGTAATTTCCCCAAACTGGAAAACCTCCAAATGTTCACCAACAGTAGAGTGGATAAATGAGCTGTGATGCTTCCCACAATGTAATTATACCACAGCAATGAAAACAAACTCATGCTACCTGCATGAATCTCACCAGCAGAAGGCTAACTTGTAGACACAGACACAGGATAAAACATATGGTCTGACTCCATTTCTATAAAGCTCCAGATCGGCATCCGGAGCCTGGGATTTCAGGAGTCAGGGCTGTGTTTACATTGGGAGGAGGCGGGAGTGGCTGGGCAGGGCGTGGGGGAAGAAGGGTGTCTGATGTCGGGAATGTTCCCGTTCTCGATCTGGGTAGTAATTGCGTGGGTATGTCTGCATTGTGAAAAGTCATCTCGATGGACACTCATGTATGCACGTTGTACTTCAGTGAAATCACAGTAAATTAAAGCAAAAGGAGCTCAAGGGGGAAGGAAAAAACACCTCACAATTTCTCTCACATCGATTGAAAAACAATGCAATCTCAGTGTTTACCTCTTGGTAACAAATTATCCCACTTGTTTGCTTTTGAAATTAAGAAAAGGGAATGTAAAACTCTTGCATAAGAGCAGTACGTTAGGTCAGTAAGAACAAAATAATACCTAGTAGGTTTCTGATACAGAGACATTGAACGGGTAAGGTGACCCAGAAGTAATAAGGAAGCGGGGACAGACACATACAGAGGCAAGCAAACTCAGAGGGGTAACATGGAGACCCAGACTAACAGCCACACGCATGACACAGGGAGAGGCTTCACAGGGGTGGAGTGCAGCCTTGGGGACACTTTAAAATACTGACAGGCTCTTTGTTAGCTACTTAGCGGCAAGATACAATTTGTGGTTTGCCGATTTTTTCACTTACTATGCCTACCTCATTCGATGTCGTGGTTAGTGTCTGAAGCAGATTTTGACAAAGTAAAATGCAAAGAGTCTAAAGTACACATCTCTCAGTGTGGGTAGTCACATGCTTGCTTTACCTGTCGTGATTAGTATCCACAATTGAATGCAAACGTGTTAGAATGACTAAAGCTGGTCCTCCCACTTTAAATAAGTGTTAAAATAGAAATGGCAGGACCCCACCCGAGATTCTGATTGAGTAGGTTGGGTGGGGTGCCGTGACATGAGAATTTGCACTTCTAAAGGCGTGCCCAGCTGATGCTGTGGTCCCTGACTCATGCTGAAAACCACTGTACATTTGAATTGCCCATATTTTATCTTTCTCAGCAACAGTATCTTGATAGGATAACATCGGTATTCAAAACCCTGAGGCTTTCAAAGCCTATAAATGTTTGGTCAGGACAGAAATAATTAGCCTTCAGAATAGAAAGGAGGTTGTATCATCTGTTAACTTACAAATCATTCCTCCATGTTTTACAAAATAGCTATGCTGGCTTTAGCTAAATGTATACACTGTGTAATGGGAACAGTTATAGAAAAGGCTTAGACACGTAAAAGCAAAGAGCAATACATAAATAATATATACAGTGTTTGAAGCTCTTTCCATCCTATCTGCATTTAATTACAAACATTATTTCTCTGAGAGGCAGAGACAAAACAACTACAATGACACTGTCAGCTTCACACTTTCAAAGGGGAGCTGTGTGGCTGGCCTGTTCCATTCTCTTGGAGATTTCCTGGAA